CCCCACAGCAAAAACCTCTCAAAAAAAAAAAAAAAAAAAAAAACAATTGTTGATGGAAGGAAGAATGACCAACCTCCAACCTTTCCAAAGGAGCTTGCATAGTCCGAACACTGTCAAGCTCCCCCTTCAGGCTGCATCAGCCAGATTCCTTGCCCAGTTGCCTTCTTACCTTGGAAGGTCATACGAATTGGAGGAAGCGCAGGAGAAGAAGAAGGTGCAATCTTGGAAGCCAGCCTGCAAGAGGAGGCAGCTTTCAGCCCTTCATCCCACGTGATGTGCAGCAACACTGCTTTGGGCTGGCTCTGTTTTCAAGATCAACAGAAGAAAAAAAAAAACAAGTTCAAGTTGGGGATCAGCAGGTGCTATAAAGATTGCAGTGCTGGACTCCCACATAGTTGACCACAGTTCGAGTCCTGGACCCCGTGGGCTTGAAACTCATGCCACAAGCACACGTCTGTGTGTGTATGTTCCCGAACTCCCAAGAGGAGAATGAAGGAAAAGGGATTGTGTCATGGCCATCCGCCCAGGGGGGTGATTTCGCACTCTCTCTGTCTCTTTTTTTTCTGGAGAGGTTTTTTGCTATAGGGCACACGTGCGTTCACCAGACAGACAGAGAGACAGAGAGAGACAGAAAGCGAGAAATCACCCCCCAGGGGGGATGGCCACACCGCAATCCCTTCTCCTCCATCCTCCTCTCGGAATCTTGGGCACGCACGCACACGCGCCTGGCGTGAGTTGAAGCCACCGGGTCCAGGACTCGAACCGCGGTCGACTACATGGAAGTCCAGCGACATAGCCATGACGCCAACTGCTGGTCCCATCCCCTTAATCTTTCTAAGCCTCCTTACCCACGTGGAGGGCGATAATGAGGCAGATGCTGTCCACAGATGTGGGAGGCACCAGTCACCTCAGTCACAATCAGTCATTGTTGATGGTGTTCGCGTCCCAGACTCAGAGAGAAAAGGGGGGTCAGAGAGGCTGGGAATTAGGCGAGAAGAGACTGGTGTATCGGGGGCCCCGTGGTGTGCTCTGCAAGGCTGACCACGTGGGAAGGTCCCTAGCTCGCTTCCAGAGACTTCCCTGAGTATGCAGGGTACACGTGTGCCCCTGTTCCAGGGCTGGCTGAGGCGGGAGGGTGGGGGGAAATACAGTGTCAAGAGTCTACTTCGGGGGGGACCAGTAGTTGGCGTCATTGTTACGTCGCTGGACTCCCATGGAGTAGACCATGGTTCGAGTCCCGGACCTGGCAGCTTGAAACCCACGCCGGGCACATATGCATGTGTGTCCATCCCCTCTGGGGGAGTGACGTCTCGCTTTCTGTCTCTCTGTCTCTCTGGCAAGCACATGTGCCCCACAGCAAAAATCTCTGTGTGGTTTTTTAAAAAGAATTATTTATTTAGGGAACCAGCAGTTAGCGTCATGGCTATGTCGCTGGACTCCCACGTAGTCGACCGCGGTTCGCGTCCCGGACCCGGTGGCTTAAAACCCACGCCGGGCGCGTGTGCGTGCGTGCCCAAGATCCTGAGAGGAGAATGGAGGAGAAGGGATTGCGGCATGGCCATCCCCCCTGGGGGGTGATTTCTCGCTTTCTGTCTCTCTGTCTCTGTCTCTCTCTCTCTGGCGAGCACGCACGCCCTATGGCAAAAATCTCTATAAAAATTACTTCGTTCATGAAAATGAAAATAAAAAATATGAAGAGAGTAACAGAGACAGTTCTTTGAGATGCGGACAAGGGACACCTGCGGACACATAAGCAATCTAGTGATTCCTTGAGCCTCAGTTTCCCTATCTGTCACATGAGCTAAGACCACTGTCCCCAGGCTCCCAAGGAGACCCACCAACCTCTCCTAAATGGGCCCCCAACATGGGGGCAGACAAACCTACTTTCAAGGCTTGGGGGGGCCCAAAAGCCCCCATTCTGAGAGTCTGAGGCTGTGACCCACCACTCGGAAGGATTCTGAAGACCCTGAGGCGGGAGAAGAACCACCAGACCCCCGTGTCCCCCCCCCCAACCACGTCACCCCCCACCAGCTCCACTCACCTGCCCCTGAAGCTGAACCCACCAGCCCGGTGGCCTGGCCTCTGTGCCCTGGCGTCTCGGTGGCTTTTGTGACTCGTGGCTAAGTTCCGACCAATCCCGGCAGCTCCTAAGAGGAGGAGGTTCTAGAAGGCAGAAGGAGGGACCGGGGGCAGGTGTGGGGGGGAGCTGCTGGTCATGGCGAGCAGAACCCATTGCCTGCCCATTCCGAGTAGAAAGTGAGGGTTCGGAGCCCACAAGGGACCCTGAAATCTCCCCCTCTGTGGATCAGAGGTGGTTTCGTCCCTTTGGTGGTTTTTTTTGTTTGTTTGAATTCTTTTATTTTTGCCGTGGGACACATGCACCTGCCAGAGAGACATAGAGACAGAGAAAGGGAAAGTGAGAAGTCACCCCCCTCGGGGGACCAGCAGGTGGCATGGTGGTTAAGGACACTAGACTCCCGTATGACCAACCACAGTTCGAATCCCGGACCTGGCGGCCTGCTTTCTCACTTCCCCTCTCTCTCTCTCTCACTCTGTCCCTCTCTGCTCAAATTAAAGTAAAATAAAATCATTTTAAAAGAAACTTGAAAAAAAAAAATTGGAGGAGGTTTTTTGCTATAGGGCGCGTGCACTCGCCAGAAAGACAGAGAGAGACAGAGAGACAGAAAGCGAGAAATCACCCCCCAGGGGAGATGGCCACGCTGCAATCTCTTCTCCTCCATGCTCCTCTCGGGATCTTGGGCACGCACGCACACGTTGACCATGTGAGATCCAGAGACCCTTAACCTGCACACCGCCTCCTGACCCATTCTTGTTGTTGTTAATTATCCACTTAACTAATTAATGTTTTTTTTTTTTTAATTTGACCAGAGCAAGAGAGAGAAAGGGAAAGTGAGAAAGCAAGCCACCGGGTTCAGGACTTGAACCGCAGTCAGCCATAAGGGAGTCCAACGTCTTAACCACCATGCCACCTGCCGACACCCCTGGCCCCTCTTATCATTTATATATTTATCATATTATTATAATTCTTTTTAAGTTTGCTATAGGGCATGTGCACTCATTAGAGAGAAACAGAGAGGGAAGGAACCAGCAGTTGGCATAATGGCTATGTCTCTGAACTCCCATGTAGTCGACCACGGTTCAAGTCCCAGACCCGGTGGCTTAAAACTCACGCCGGGCGTGTGTGCGTGCGTGCCCAAGATCCCGAGAGGAGAATGGAGGAGAAGGGATTGTGGCGTGGCCATCCCCCCTGGGGGGTGATTTCTCGCTTTCCCTCTCTCTGTCTCTGTCTCTGTTAAGCACACATACCCCATACTAAACACGGGGGAAAAAAAAAAAAAAAAGAGTGGGCACATAGGCCAGGCTGGTGGTGCAGGGGTTAAGTAAGTACTCTGCAGGAAAAAACAGATCCCACTTGATCAATCGGGGTTCGAATCCCACCAGGGTGACTTGAAAACACATCAGGTACATGTGTGTACAAGATTTAATGGGGTGGAAAGATGGAGGGAAAAGGGGGGGTGATGGGACCAGGCCCCACGGGTGGGAAAGGGTCTCTCTCCTGTATTTTCACACTCCTTTTAATTTTTTTTTTTTTTTTTGGAGAGGTTTTTGCTATATGGCTCATGCGCTCACCAGAGAGACAGAAAGCGAGAACTCACCCCCCACGGGAGATGGCCACGCCACAATCCCTTCTCCTCCCTTCTCCTCTCGGGATCCTGGGCACGCACGCACACGCGCCCGGCGTGAGTTTAAGCCACCGGGTCCAGGACTCGAACTGCAGTCGACCACGTGGGAGTCCAGCGACATAGCCATTACGCTAACTGATGGTCCCTCTGCATACTCCTTATGGCAAAAGAAATCAGTGGGCCATGTCCCAGTTGGTGGCATGGTCATTGGATCCCATACGGCCAACTCACGCTTCAAGTCCCAGATTTGGCGGCTTGAAGATCATGCCAGGCGCGTGTGCGTGCGTGCCCAAGATCCCGAGAGGAGAATGGAGGAGAAGGGATTGTGGCATGGTCACCCCCCACCGCAGGGGGGCGGGGAGAGGTGATCTCTCACTTTCCCTCTGTCTCTGTCTCTCTCTCCAGCGAGCACACACACCCTCTGACAAAAACCCACAAAATATAAATTAAAAAGTGGGCACTGGGACCAGCAGATGGTGGAATGGTTACATGACTAAACTCCCACGTAGTTGACTGTGGTTCGAGTCTCGGGCCCAGTGGCTTAGAACTCCCATCAGGGGCATGCGTGCCCAAGATCCCAAGAGGAAAGTGGAGGAGAAAATTATGCCATGGTCATCCCCTCTGAGAGGTGATTTCTTGCTTTCTGTCTCTCTGTCTCTCTGTCTCTTTCTCTGGAGAGTGCACGTGCCCTATAGCAAAAATCTCTCTTAAAAAAAAAAAAAAAAGGGCGGGATGGCCTGCTGGAGGTGTGGTGGTGGTGAAGGTGCCGGACTCCCATGGCCAACTGTGGTTCAAGACCCGGACCTGGTGGCTTGCTTTTTCACTTTCTCTCTTTCTCACCCTGTCCCTCTCTGAGCAAATTAAAATAAATTAATTAATATAATAAAGTTCAATAATTGTTTTACAAAAGGGGGCGGGGACCAGCAGTTGGCATCATGGCTATGTTGCTGGAATCCCATGTAGTCGACCGATGTTCGAGTCCCGGACCCGGTGGCTTCCACTCACAACGGGCGTGTGTGTGTGCGTGCCCAAGATCCCGAGAGGAGAATGGAGGAGAAGCGTGGCCATCCCCCCTGGGGGGTGATTTCTCGCTTTCTGTCTCTCCGTCTCTCTCTGTCTGGTGAGCGCATGCACCCTATAGCAAAAACCTCTCCAAAAAAATTTAAAAAGTTGGGCACAGACCCTGTGGGTGAAGTGCGGCCGCTGTCCTGGGTCACCTCCCCGGGCTGGGCGGCGGCCCAGAACGTATTCACCACAGGCCTAGCCAAGGCTGACACACACGTTGGCCTCAGGACAGCAAGTTCTAGCCAAAGCCACCAGTGGGCCCAGAGACCTCTGCCTGTGCTCCTTGGGGAACCTCTAGGGGCACCTGAGACCCTCAGGGACAGGAGCCACTTCCCCTCCCCACCTCCCTCTGCAGAGACCCGCCCCCACGTCAAGCTCCATAATAGCAGGTGTGGTTTTAGGTAAAACCAGGGGCCTGGCATGCGGCCAGGAATCATGTCCTCTGTCTTTTGCACAGAACCAGCTCCCTCTGGGACAGCAGGTGGCATAATGGCTGGGCACTGGACTCCCACATGGCCAGCCGCGGTTCGAGTCCCGGACCCGGTGGCTTAAACTCATGCCGGGCACGTGTGCGTGCGTGCCCAAGATTCCGAGAGGAGAATGGAGGAGAAGGGATTGCGGTGTGGCCATCCCCCCTGGGGGGTGATTTCTCGCTTTCCCTCTCACTGTCTCTCCAGTGAACACATATATGCCCTATAGCAAAATTCTCTCTCTAAAAAAATTAATAAAGGGGACCAGCAGGTGGCATGGTGATTAAAGCACTGGCCACTCCCACATGGCTGACCCCGGTT